CTCATTTTTTCATGAGATCAAAGTATCTGCATTTTTTGAAGACCCTGTATGAGGCAAATGAAAATATGACTCGGAGTGAAGATCCTCATAGTATCACTCCACTCCATTTCAAATTTGATCGTTTTAGTGCAAGAGAGTTCAAGATTATCAGCATTTATAAAAGTTCATGTTTGGTAAAAAAAATATCGAAATTAATTTATATCTTCTAAACGATAATAGATAGGTATAGGAAAATAGTATATGAATTTGTTGACAAAGTGATAATGAATCATAATATGATATTATATACGGGGTGTTCCATTTGAAAAATCAAAGAAGCCGCTAATTTATAGTAGAAGCGACAACGCCACTTCATCTGAAATATTTTAGGCGTGTAGGTCATATTGATTTATGCATACTGTGAAATTTTCAGATTGATCCGTTGAATAGTTTGTCAGAAACGGCTAATTAACGCTCATCATGAAAAGCCCTGTATAATACATACGTCTAATATACAACAACCTTATAAGACAAGATAAATTATCTGTGAAGTGGAAGCGACCAAAATTACTGTTTTGAAAAAATGGCATAGGCCGATAGATGATCCAATTGCATTCAGACCAATATACTTCCTTGGCGCAGAGGCGAAACTGTACGAACAGCTAATCCTCATAAGGTTCTAGAAAGAACTGGAGCTAACTGGAAGTCTGTCAACAAGACAATATGGGTTCATTGAAGGGCACCAAAAAGTAAATGAAACCAAGGGTATTCTGCAAATAGTAAAAGGCGCTGAATGAAAGAGAAAGAAAAAAAATATGGATGATCAATCATTGCATTCTATTTCTTCGATAGGGAAATGATTATGAAAACTGAAAATAAGTTCGAAGTCCAGATCAGCAACGGAGTACCACAAGGATCCGTCATGTATGATTGTTCGTTGAGAGTGGAAATGTCAACAGAAGTCACATCAATCGGTAATCGACATTGCGATCCATGAATGGGCCTAAACACGCCTCAGAAAAGACTCAAGCACAACTGAGTGAGATAGTGGTAAAACCCATAAGTGCCCTAGCAAAGATTGTGCCACATGTTCAAGGCCCTGAAGCTCAAAAAAACTACATATGAACGTGGAACAGCACCAGTATGATCTTCAGTAATAGTATCTGCAGAGGTGGCAGGGGTGATAGATGGGATATTTCCAATACAACTTCTAATTTAGGAACAGCTGGAAGAATATGATAGAGAAGAAGTAATCATAATGAAATCTTGGCTCTTAGATAGGTGGAAGACCACCTGGACCAATGGCAGACATGGAAGATGGACTTATCCTTTGATATTTGCTATTTGAGTATGGTTCAACACACCGTGTGGGAAAACTGATTATTTTTTGACGCAGGCACGTTCCAGAAATAGGTGCTTCAGGAATTATTTCATGACCGGAGATGGCGTAGAATCCGAATTTGTGTCTCCAAGATGATGCAGGATATATAGTATTTGCGTGTTTAAGATGGAACAATCCACAGGAGGGGTCCAGAGAGAAACAGGAAATCTTTTTACAGCCAGTAGTATGATGTATTCAGTATCAAGTGAAGAAGAATGAAAATATGCATTCTGAACCATCCGCAATATGATTGAAAGCAGAGAAATGAAAGGTATAGTAGGAACAATTGGAATTAACAATGTGCTGGATCAAATTTCTACAGAAAAGAAGGGGTAGGTACGCAGGACTTGCACTTCACTAGATATTTCTCTGTCAAAACAAGATGTTAGAGCAGAAGCTATTTTTGAAAAAAATTGAAAGCTTCATGANCCATACAAAACTTGTCATTGACTAGTTTCAGAAATAAAATTGAAGGAAATTCGAAGGATATGTGTTAATTATTAGTACAAATGATTATTATGACGAGGTAAAGCATGTGTTCTCATAATTGGTAACCTTTTATTTATTTTAACTAGATTTAGTAAGTTTTTGTCTATGTGCATATATGTGGTATTAGTTAAACTAACATTTTAAGATATTTTTTCTGACTCATGTAACTAACCATTGGTTTATAATCTATGACATTCATTATGTAACTGACGACTGTAAGCACTTTTGTGTATCAATTGAGATAAATCTATAGTATTGACCACACTTTGGGATTATTTATCATAATGAACCTAGTTCTTTTGGGCGGATCAAACGATATGAGTTTGAAAAAATTGCATTTGTATCTGACACAAAAAAAACTTTTCTGCGTGTAAGAGTGAATAAACAAGTCCGCTGTGCACAAAAGATACTATGATGAGAATCATATTGAGATAAGGATGAGACCTGGTCTTTCTCAAGAAGCCAGAAACAAAAATGTTAGGCAATTCGTCAGAAAATATCCTAAAGCAATTGAAAGAGTATTTAAAAATCATTAGATTAACGACTGAGTATCTTAGACGTGTAGGTATAATAAAGGAAGCAAATACACTTTTGAATGGGGTAATATTAATTGATTTGCAAGGAGGTTCCACAATTTGCGAATGGAATGCTAATGATGATTCAGTCCTGGAGAGTATTAATGAAACTGTACTTGCAACGAATGCAACAAGATAACTTCCTAATTGAATCTCAAAGCTGAAGAATGGAAAATAGATTTTTGCAGACAGTAAGCTTTTCCACTCTCCACCAATTTCTGAAAAAAACTAACTCTATGTTCGGAGGAAAGATTGAACAATGGTTTAAATTTCAATTTGACTACAAGTAGGCCAATTATTATATGGATCCAAATTATAGAATAACTTCACTTATTGAATGAAAAAATGAAATGGAGGCTTGAATCATTTGGGATACGAAGAAACTTTGTTGAACAATTTGAAATGCAATTATTGAATATTGATGATGAGCAAGAATGCGAAGAAGTTTTGTTCAAGATAAGGGTTTCCAAATAATCGCAAGTCCATTTCAACGGTATTGAAAATAGGACAGCTAGCAGAGTGCTCCAAATTGGAGGCTTTCAAAAGGAAACTTCTGTTTTCAAACTACATAAATAAAAACTGATGGGTGTTTTCTTTTTAGGGTCAAATTTTATGATAAACCTAATGTTGAAAACCGCATATCTATATCTATCATCGTCTCTGAGTTATATCATGTTTTTCGAAAATGTGCATTTTCGAAAAGTTGCTCTAACTTTTTTCCTGTCAAAAATTTCTTGTTTTAACGAAAACATTTACAAAGCACTTTTTTACGTGTATGATGTAAAAAACCAAATTTTTTCAAATGAGATATCAATAGTTATTGATGGACAACTATTTTTTCAATGGGACACCCTGTATATTCTTGCATCAACCATGTACTTCGTATATCTCTTCTGAATTACCTTGGATTCGCACCAAGTGCAACTGAGTTGATTGGAAATTACTTACAGAACCGATCATAATGTGTCACCTTCAAAAACTCTACGTCGAANATCATTCACATGAGTTCTACTTTGAATGAATGGTAATAAATTGTACTCACATGGAACACTGCCATCCTCACTGGTATACACCGATGTTTCGCCAAAAACTTTCTTTCCCAAAAATTAATCACTCCTAAAAAATATAACCCCTTCAATTCAAAGAGAATATTTTTTTTTCAAAACCTCTTTACACGATGATGTTGGGGTCATTTTGTGCATGGTTCGTAATATTCGTTTCTGGACTGTAAAAAACTGTAAAAATCCATATATACAAGCTTCAATACATGGGGTGATACTGTGTCTCTTATATTTCGGATTACATAACACAGAGAACTCAGTTTTGTGGTTACTGTGTTCACGTGCATTTTCCATGTGAGCTTTGGAATTTCATTTTATCAGCGACTTCAATAGATTTGTTGTCAATATGTAAATGAGTATTGGAATCAAATGTCATATTTTTTGGTAGAAATCGCATATATCTCGTCTTTTCTGCATTCAATGTTAGGCCATTTTCTTGACACTATTTAATAAATTCAGCGAATGCTTTGTTGCACTTCTCAATGAGTTGTTCATACTGAGGATGTGTTAGTACAAAATTTGTGTCATCTGCATATTCTATGATTCTATCAGGAGTACCACATGTTCTGTTGATAACACTGATAAAAATGATATGGTATGTTTCACAGGAATGAACAGACTAAGTTCTTGAATTTCATCAATTCTTTCCACCCTTCTATCACATTTACTATGGAGATAGAAAAGGATGACTAAAGTTTACCCAATTCGTAGAGATAAGGATAAAAGTTATAGAACCTTAACCTACTTAGGCCAACCCACACCGAATATTTCAAATTTTCCGCACAACATAGGTGTAAATATTGCTATCAAAACCAACAACTTTGGCATACACATAAAAATAACAAAGATTTAAAGTTCAGTTTCAGAAACATCGGGAATGTATAAATTATCATGTGGGTCATGTCAATTGTTTTTCAATCTTTTCAAACACTTCGATAAATTTCTTACTTCGCCAATCAGCAACAGTTGAAAACAACTTAATGATATACCACCATTGACTTGGACGATCCAAAAGCACAAAATTTGTACTTTGTAAATCATGAATGATTCAAAGTATGTACAATAAAGTATTGAGAAAATTGGAAAATTCAATCAAAAGTTTCACGAAACTTTGTCTTAACATAATAAGTAGTTTTTTCTGATAACCTCTAACTGGACTTCAAACGCATACCATAATGACATAATATTTGTGGCTTTTGACGCGAATTTGATTTGAAACGAATTTCATCCAAATAGCTGTATAACAAAAAAATTGTTTATGTGTCAGTGTGCGTTCAGTTTACATTAAATAATTCTATGATCCGTTGCAGAGTTAAAGGTTATTCAGTTCAAGCGCAGTTTGTATTAACGTGATTCAAAGGATATTAAAAAATGACAATCATACCAAAGTTTGCTATAAATGACTTCGATTTGTGATATGTTACGAAATCAGGATCGTTCAGTTCAAGGCAGATTTTTCATAAAAATATATCGAATATAAAACATGAAAAACTAATTAGAACTGTATTGAATAAAACCTATAATTATTTCCATTATTGAATATATTTAGTACATTGATGGATGTAGCCTTCACTACCTGGTAGGGGATCATCATGAAAAATGGGAAATGAAACTTTCTATGTTTTTTCAATACTTTCATTTGTAACTAACGTTTTTTTCAAACTAATACAATGAAATTATAAAAGAATAATATTGTGTCAGTTTGAAAATGTCCTTTAAGGCAAGTGCAGTAACGACAGATACAAATGAAAGTGGTGAAAAAAAAAGTTTCATTTCCAATTTTCATAAAGGATGAGTAGATAAGAACTATTGTGATCATTCCCATATCGATTTCAATTTAAAAGCCACCAGTAGGCAGCTGTTTCAGCCTGTTCTGCATCGTCAGTAACGGGCAGGCGGTCCTCGATTGAAGACAAAATGTGAATAACCAAGAAAAGCCCTTAATAAAAATAACTGCGTAAACGCAAGCGAGACTTAAGTGAAACCACCTATTGGTGTGACACCCAAGTCAACTTGTCAAGTTTTCAGGTCAGTCTTGTTGGTTTGACCAATCAACTGACAACCAAATGTCTGCTACCGCAGTTATATAACGGGGTCAAATCGCACGATTTCGGTGGTTAGTTCACACTTCACTCAGGTTAGTCAGTTCACGTTTTCCTTCAGTTTCTGGGTCAGTTGAATTTTGTACGGGTTCAGGCCGAATTCTTGTGAGCGACGCGAAATCGACTGCGTTTTATGCCTTAGATTCAGCCGTGCAGCCGCCTCTGGTTTTGGTGAAACCTCACTTGAGCGCAAACGTTTGCTAAACCTGCTCATGGGGGGTTAGTTCCCCCACCTGAGACAGATTCTGCATACGCCGCAGCTCTCGCTCCTGAACTAAATTTACAGGGAGGTCAGTTGGAGTCGTAAACTCGACATCCATCTCCTCTGGAGACTCGCTCCTGAACTAAATTTACAGGGAAGTCAGTTGAAGTCGTAAACTCGACATCCATCTCCTCTGTAGACTCGCTCCTGGATTACATTCTACAGGAAGATCAGTTGGAGTCTTAAACTCAACATGCATCTCCTCTGTAGACTCGCTTCTGGATTAAATTCTACAGGAAGATCAGTTGGAGTCGTAAACTCGACATCCATCTCGGTAGACTCGCTTCTGATCTAAGTTTACAGGGAGGTCAGTTGGAGTCGTAATCTCGACATCCATCTCCACTATAGACTCAGCGTTAGAAATAATTTTTAAGTTCACTCTGTCCATAAAGGTCCCACGAGTAGCTAGGAAAAGAAAGTCAATCACGGCAGAGACCCGCATTACCGTGACAAGGCGATGCTACGACGAGAGTGATTGATACTGTCAGCATAAAAATTGTGTGTCGATGAAGTCGACGAAGTTCGTTTTTGCCTGGTCCTGATTGGCGAAGGTTCTACCGGTGAGAAAGTTATCAAAGTGCAGTATCGGACCTCTTCTGCTGACCAGTATCTGCTGCTGTTGCTGACGAAATTCTCGGTACATTTCCCCGATTTCCTCACAATAGAGCTCTGCTCTGATCACACCAGTGACCACCATACAGTGAAAATTATCAGGTGTAATATAAAAAGAATAGGTCCCGAAACCGAGCCTTGAGGGACACCAATCGTAACTGCTCGTTTTGTAGAAATAATATTGTCGATAGAAACGTACTGACTTTTTGAATCGAGGAAGCTGTGCAGCCAATGGTGGGGAATACTCCTTTTTCCATCTCTGAAGTTTATATAGTAAAACAATATGATCTACAAAGTCGACCAATTTATAGCTCATCTTCGAGGCTGAAATCTCCGGAGTGGAATTTCGCAAAACAACGTCATCATCAAATGCCTGTTGATTTTTCGTGCTGTTTCAGCAGCGCTTTGTTTCAATTTGAATTCGTAGAGAAAAACTCTTCGAAAATCGCTCAACGACATCGTATAGTAATGAACTGAAAAGAAGGAAAATATTGAAGAAATTTGGAAAAAATGAGCATCATCAATGCCTAGAGTATAGTAGAAGTAAACGATATTGTGCAATCTTAAAGTTGGCGGCACTCTCAAAGGCCAAAAAACCAATATATAGAAATGAACCCGTAGCGAACTAGTCCAGTTGGACTGTAGACTTGACAGTTCCTATTGGATAATTTTTACTAATAGAGTTTAATGATTGGCTGAAGAGTCATAAACTTAAATTTGAAGTTATGTTACGGTGATAGAAATCGGGGAATGCGGAGATGGTTATCGCCGTCGTATTCAGTTCAGGAACTGATCGCAATTTAAGTGTTGAAATTCGATATTGGAGCAGTTTTAATTACTTAGACATTTTATTATCTGTTGAAAATGTTGCGTCCTTGGACGAGTACTGATAGTGATAACAAGTGTGATAACAACGCAGACTTTTTTCAGTGAAATGATTCCAATAGCGATAATATATATAACGAGGGAAACAACGCAAGATGCGATGTGATTCAGGATTACCAAAACCTTTAATGTTCATCTAATAAAATCATTGAAAAAAACAATATATGACTGTTACAAAAGCAATGAGATTCCTACTACTGAAATCATAAGGAAGAAATTGAATACTTCCGGCCATAACGTGAGCTGCTGTGACAAAACTCTTCAGAACTGGATGAAGAAACTAGGATTTAAATTTGAAATAATAAACAAACGTCAAGCAGTTATCGAAAGCAGAATAATAGTGGAATTGCGTAACAAATACTTGAAACAAATAACTAATAATAGACAAGAACAATGCCAAATTTTCTATTTGGACCAAACTTGGAATGACACTCACGACACAGTTACGAAAGGTTAGACTGATGGTTCGAGAATGCGTACGCCTAACATGCCTGCAAACGAAGGATCGCGACTAATCATTGTGCATTGCGGAGGAAGTAAAGGATAGGTTCCGAATTATCTGAAATTATGTGGAAAAAACTGAGGACTGCAATGTTGACTATCGCTAATATTTCCGAGGAATGGTTTGAAAACGCATTGATCTCATATAAGGATGTGAATAGTGAATTAGTTTTTGACAACGCTCCTCTATCGTCAAGTATATACCACAACATGGAGCTACAGAAACACATGACATTAAGAATCAGGAGTATGTTAATTGAAATGCGGAACGTATCACAAGATATATATTGGTCAAAGTGGCAGTACATTTAGGTATCGAATCCAGGAATATCATATGAGCTATGTAAATAAGAAAACTAGTTCAACATATTCAAATCATCTTTTAGAAAAAAAATCATATCTTCAACGAATAGTTCGAAATTTCACACATAGAAAGTAAAGGTTTGAAACTGAATCATTTGATAGCAAGGGAAATTATTAAACTTAAAAATTCAAAAATTCTAATGAATGACCAACTGGATTTGAATAGATCACCATTATTGAACTTGTTTTCTTAAAAAAACCGATGAAGTATTATTATTGATGTGGAAGTGATGTAATATGCTTCAGGTAATCATAATTGAGGAGGTACCTCAGGTATATAAAAATTGTAGAGGTTTAGGTCATTTGATGAAGGTAGTCTCAATTGTAGTTACCTGTAGTATATAAATATTAGCATAAGAAACAACTTGTAGTATCCAAATCACTATTGAAGAAGCTACTGTGTTAGCGAATCATGTGATATATTTTTTCAAATAAAGTTTGTGGATATCAAATCGTGAGATGTAGTTTTTGAAAAAATGTAGACAGGAGTTTATATTTTTCAATTTCTATTCTGGAAAATATTCTGTTTTGGGAAATATTTTTTCTGGCTTATCTTCGCCACAGAAGTGTTCCGTGAGAAGTTAGGTAATGCGAAAAATTCTAACTATATTTTTTTTTCAAAATTTGAATTTTTTTCAGTCTAAGACTGAAAATATAGAAATAATATTTGATTATGGTTGTAAAAAAATTGTTAGGTTCAGTCACGATTTCAGTTTATGAAAATTTTACTGTGAAAATCATTTATTTCTAACCCCTTTCACACACACTCGATGAATGTGATAAAATATGCGTGTCAAGTAGTTTAATAGCTAATGTACATGAGTATGTTTGGTTCTGCGCGCTTCCATAACTATTTATATGCAAGTTCAGAGGGAAGAGCATTAATCTGAAGAGAATAACTTCAATCATCAACGTGAGTGGTTCGATGAGAAAATAAGTCACATCACATGTATTTCGTGTGAGAAATGTTCATGATGGGAAACTGCGTTATGAACTTTCTAGTTTTTCTAGCGACATTGTGTGTACTAGCTGTATTTTTTGTGCAGTATCGATATGGATATTGGAGGAGGAGAAATGTCCTTTATTTGAAACCTACATTTCCTTTGGGAAATAACACTTGTTTCCTTCCCAAAGGAATATCCCTCGGAATGGTTTCTAAATATTTTTATGATGAATTGAAGAAGATGGGATGCAAGATCGGAGGTAAGAATTTGAAAAACTGGCTCTTCATAGGAAGAGGGAACATTATTGTATATTTCTATGATTTACACGGAGTGATTTTTCAAGTTTAAATTTCAAGAAGACTCAAACTTTGATACTTCATATTATTTTTTAAGTATATAACTATCCTCAATCTCTTTTCAGTGGTCGGGAAAGTTTCATAGTGAATTTCAGGTTTTGAAAACGGAAAAAGATTGTTTTCCGAAACGTCGACCACTGATGAAAGAAAGTTTATACAGGGTGTAACATAAGAACGTTAAAATATTCAAGTGACGTATTCCTGAGACAATTTCAAGATAAAAAAGTCTATATAAACTTTCGACCGGAATTGCTCCGTTTCGGAGATACAGGGTGTTGATTTTGATTGTTTTGTTCGTTTTTCAAAAATAGCTTTTGCAAAAAATAAGTTATTTACACTAAATTTGGTACCTAGGGTTTTTTGACATGGAAAATCATAATTTCGTATTGATTTCCAAATATTATCTACGATTATTTATTTCGAATTGCCATAACTTTCTTGACAGTAAACTTTTGGCACTTTTCATGGAAAAAACCCAATTCTTTCTGATCCATGAAGTATAGAGATTGCAAAAACATGCGAAAATAGTTCCTTTTCTAAATATTAAAGACATACTCTGAAGGGGATTTCATTTGAAAAATGACACTTGCAACTTTTTTCAGTAAAAAATCTAGTTTATTAAATTCTTATTTGAATACTTCATATTGACAACGTTATTCATTACAATATTTTTAGGTACATTATTCTCGTTATTTATTTATTCCTTATCTTGAATTCTCTATTTAAAATCTCTCTGTTTAAAATTCTAGTCATTTATGCATTAGTTTTTGTCTCTTCGATGGCTTTTCTTTATCGTTAGACAAAATTAGGATCGCCGAAAATTTCGATCAGCATTATAGCGATTTGGGAAAAACTTAGCAAACAATATACCAAATTTACAAAATTATAGAGTTGAATCGGTCAATCTGGAACACACGATGTACCGATACCCCACAAATGAATTCGAAATTATGGAAACAATAAAAATACCAAAACCAGAAACTTGAAAAGAAGTAAATTTAAAGTACAACATTTTCTATTGATCAGTATACATCACGATACAGTCGAACAAATATTCATTGAAATATGTAGCCCCAAAACACATGACATTGAAACAGACAAAACTTTTGAAACAACCCAGTATAAGGTTCCAGCACCACTGTGCCAATAATTAATAAGGCATTCCTAGCAGTGAGTTTCGTATATTGGACGACCTAAAAACTATTTTAGAACATCAAGAACTCACAAAAAGTACCCATGCTGATATTTTTGAGGTTAATATACTCAATAATAGAGGACAAACCGAATAATCATGATTTAATTTCCACAGGTGATTTCAAATGTAACTTTGAAAAAGTTATGGTATTCATTTTGAGTTTTCATACTCGAATAACACTATATTGTGGGATACAATAGCTTAATACGCCTCATGAAACACGTGTTGCGTTTTTGTAAACTGTTAAGGGTGAATATGTTATAATGAAAATTCATCAAGTAGCGGCCAAGTAGTTTCATGATATTTGTTTGTTATTGAAGATTTTCCCGAGATAATTACTGATGAAATCATTTTTTTATTTCAGTCGAAGTCGACTTCTCTGTTTACTTCTGTGAAAATGAGAAAATTTTTGGCTACGATCTCAAATTGTGCAGACGAAATGGTGGCCAGTTTGGAGCAGAACGCAAATGAAAATAGTGATGTTAATATTCTTGAGGTTATCGCATGTTTTACAACGGATATAATTGGTAAGAACTATTATATCGTCAACAAATCAGGGAATCAATCCGATAACTTTGTAATTTAATCAAAATGATTTCATTGTAACTAGACTAGAAGTATAGTTGCAAATACAAAAGTCATGCTTAGCTGGCTGATGTTAACAGATCGGGTTTTACAGATATGAACCTCGATCTGAATAATAATTTTCGGCAGAAAAATTTCCAAACACCATCCTTCGTGCTCAAAAAAGTTCACATTTCTCATGAAATTGAAGGTAAATAATCTGGTTGAAATTCATATCTGAAAGACCCTACCTGCAAAAATTTCTGCCGACCTGCAAGGTTTATTTTNACCAAGTCACGTTACGGCGTTTCGATTTTTAGAGTCCAAACTAATGAAATGCACCATAGAATGCACCAATGGAAGTCCCAACTAGTGAAATAGGCATCATCAGAAATGACCTTCAACGGAATGGTTACTCCAGAGTGATGGTAGAACAGTTTTTAGCCAGGAGACAGCAAGAGCTCCACAAGGAAGAGAAGCCGCCACAACCAGTACTTGTACTTCCCTACATCAGAGGATTATCGGAAAAGATGAAAAGGATTGGGTCCAAGTATAACATCGGGACCTGCTCCAGATCTGGGAACACTATCCGTAGCAGCCTCACGAAAACCAGGTCACCAAGATATAAAATTGCTGCTTCAAACAGATAACGAATCATCATAATATAGAAATGAAAAACATTATTGAAAATCATAAAAAGTTACAGTTTATCAACGTTTGCCATTTCTACACAAGATTTGCAGTACATTGGACACGATGGCAATCTTGACACCTTCCTTGACCATTTTGTTTAAGTCTTTTGGATGGAGATTCCACAGTTTCGCCTCTGATTTTCGAAATCTGGATATTTACTAACGATGCTAACATTTTCGATCTTTTCATCAACATCATATTCGTCAATTTCATCATCACTTTCTCTTTCATCCCATAAGGACTGAAGACGGGCCATTTCTCTCTCATAATCACCAATTTCTATCGAAAAATCTAAAAAACTACTCGATGTAGTTTCCTTTGAATGTGCACGATTTTGGAACGCTTAGAGACACGTAGGGTTTCGTGCACCTCAGTTGCTTTATAACAGGTATGATTCAAACATACGTCAAATATGAGAGTGGAGGCTATTTGCAGAAGCTACTAAATACATCCGTCGCTGGGGCGCCAATATCACATGCAGGGTTAATTAAAAAAAAATGTTACTTACCATTTACATCTTATATGAGCGGATTACCGAACTTAGGTCCACTTAAAGTAGGCTTGAACAAACAAATTCCTTCAGCAACATCGGTGAAATACTTTGGTGTCACGATAGATCGACATATGAAGTGGGATTTACATATGAAACAACTTCTCAAAAAATTAAGAGGATTTCTTCCAAAATTTAGATATCACAAAGAATTCATGGACATTAGACAATTAAAAATGATTTATTTATCGCTAGTACAATCATATTTTACAAACGGAATTTTAGGATCGGAGGTGTTAGTGATTGTTCCACAGAAAGCGTAAATGCGATTCAAAAATGGATTCTGAAACTAATATTTGCCCACACACGTGACTATAGTAGTGATCTCTTATATAAAGAAGTTAAAATCATGGACATCAGATAACTTTTCTGCATGAAAATATTATTACTCGTTGAAAATAAAAAAATTATATTACAAGTTTATGAACATGCTCATAATACACGAAAGAATGATTCTTCTATATTTTTATCCCGATGTGACAACGAAGTGTCAATTACCTGGCACCAATAATATATAAGCAAATATCTCATGAGATTCAGAAGATTGATAAATTTAGAAAATTCAAAAATTCTTCAACTGAGTGTATTCTCAAGACGGGACGTAATATTTTTAGTAATATAAATTGTGAGTTTGAATTTGGAAGAAATAAAAGGGGTTCCTCCTGATTATGTCATTTACGGAAGTTTGAAATTTACTCTACATGTAACTTATCAAAAACCCCAAATATGATTTTACCTGGATGTGTCATTATATCACGTAAAAGCAGTTTTAACTGCTTCTGTGATTTTTCTGTTTATTTGTTTTTCACGTGTGTTACATTGTTTTGTAAGATTTTATTTTATTATGCTAATAAACATTATTATTATCATTCGATGAACCTATCCGATTCTAGTAGATCTTCAAAATCTCAAAGACCATCATCGTTTTCGTCTCCAATATTTTTTTTTAGTCTGCATTACATAAAAAGTTTTCGGCAGCCACATTTTAGATTGTTACATCCAGTTTCACAGGTGCAGCAAATAATTTTCAGCAATATTTCCGAAATTTATTCCTTTTCTGTGAATTTGGGCACAACGCCACGTTGATGTCGCTTCCAGCCCTAATCTGTTGCTGTCAGTTCCTTACTCAGCCAAGTTTAAAGCTGATAATATGCCCTGTAACAGAAGAAGATACATTACCAAGGCTAATTAGCGCTGAAAATAATTGAAACAGAACTGTAAAGTTATGCATTTGTTCATTTGTGATTGGCCTCAAGGTAGTGAGTNTGGAATCCGAGTTTTGTAATTTTCATCGGCGCGTTTTCGGACCTTTCCTTAAACTTTCTAGGCAAAAATACGAATCGAATGACACCTTGGTCGTAATTTTTGGACTGGGCTGAAAAATGTCACCAAAAAGAGCTAAATCGAGTACATATGAACCAGACTATGAAGGTGTGAGTTATGGCCATTTTGCCTACTTATCCAAAAGTAAATGGTTACATAATCAGCACATTTCTAATAAAATGCTGCCTTATATAGGAGGTGCTAAAACTGTCGCTAAATTTTGAACCATCCATTCATTATTGTTTCATATTTTGTTCCAGGTGTCTTTATTGGCATCGATCCACAGTTGGTTATCGTGGATCCAGATGTTGCCAAGGATATTTTAACGACTGATTTTGCATATTTTGTGGACAGGGGAATATACAAAACTTCGAGCGACCCCACGACTGTAAATCTCTTCGCTCAGGAGGGATTAGAATGGAAAACTACAAGGGTATTCATATAAATATATAACCTAAACTCTTCTATAACGTGATCTTATTGAGTACACTGATGAAATGGAGCTTCACGAAGCGAAATTTTTTTTCAAAGATTATTTAAACATTTTTTGTAGTCTTCAATGAAAACGGAAGTCAAGTAAGATATTGCTACGTAGGGACTGGTAATAGGTGAATAATTAATCAGATAGACACATGGTTTATTTGTAACAAAACACAACCACAAACAAACCCGAAAGAGAAAATTACATGGTAACCTCGAGGAACTACCTCTAAGTCTTTTCTCGATCAGCGAGGAGACTCTAGAGCGGGTTCAATGTTCAATTGATGGGACGCTTCAGCTTAGTTCGAGGAACTAAGGAATTCAATTCTCAATTATCGGAAATCATCGACTTTATGTTGATGATAGACACTACCTTACACTGACGAGAGACCAAACAGCTCGAAACCGGTCTGCAAGTTTGTTCCAATAATTGAAAATCTATTGCGGCAGTTGTATCGCCAACAGCATATGCAGGAATAACTTCAGTGAAGAATCCTGCACTGACACCTGTCGGATATAATCCAACGC